ATAATCAGATTCAACCAAAATAGATTCAATGCAACAACACATTGGTACTGATACTCGAAACAATGTTGGATTGATGAAATATTCGTCGAGATATTCCTTCTTTTAACAGTCTCTCTTTCGTGTTCAGCGAATACAAAGGAATATTTGGAATTAAGCTGAATTTTGAGATGACTCTCGATTTGTTTATCAGTTATATGGACACACATTCATATCAAATACAGAAATACCCGTTGTAAGGCACATCATTAGGTTTATATTAATTACTTGAATCGTTAATTAATATAGTACAGAACATGGAATTGCTCTCTTTTCTCGTCGTTCTATTACATTACATCAAGTTCATTGAATAATTATAAAACAATTTTAGTATCACTGTTAACAGTGACTTTACAACAACAATATCTCAAAATAAAAGGCAAGCGTACTAGAATTTGTGGATCACAATCAATTATTAATAATAATATTCATAATAATAACAATTATAGTAATAATAAAGTTACAGCAATAGCGATAATAATCACAAACAAATTGATCTGTGATATACAGAAGACAACCACAAAAATGCACATTTAATGATCTGTTAACACAATGATAATCACCGAGGTTTGTTAAGATATAACAAAGAAACAATTATAATTACAGCAAGAGCAATTATTTTTTGTATGGTTTAGTAAAACAAATGAAAAATTTGATGAGAGGTATTAAGCATTTAGTGATGATAAGAATGGTGATTAGTATAGCGGTGATGACGAGAGTGATCTCGAGAATGCACGTGACAATTTCAGTGGTTGAATTCAAGCCGTTCATCCACTCGCGAGGATCGAGTTTCTGCAGAAAGTTGTCGACACCTCGTTCGTTACAGCCTGGGCATTCACCGATACCCACGTACCAACGATGTGCTTGATGGTTGTCAGCTTTCAGCGATTTTGATTCATATCTGAAATGTACATTCCGTTATTTATCACTCGTTCAGTTCAATTCATTTCTATCAAAATTGCGATTTTCATCATTGACTGGCTCTCAGCCTGGGCGATATCCCCCAGTACAGCAGGAATAAGGCATGCAAATGGGTGAATCTGGCGATAGAGTCGATAGATAGGCGAATGCGGATCGCAGTTGGCAATCGTGGGTTCATTCCGCAGATTAATGCGGACATATCAGCTGGCACTCACTATCGCATGGAAATGCTTTAATAGTAGGTAAGAAGTTTGTTTGTGATATTTCTAGATGAAATTCTGCAGTTGAACTTGTGAACAAACGTGAATCAGTTGTATTCGTTTGTATGTGGAATGCGTGATGGTTTGTCAGATTGTTTGCATCATTGTGATGCCATATTCAATATTTGGTGATTCTCAGATTTTTGTGTTTAATCGTTATCAAGTAATCATTATTTTACATATCTCTAGAATATCTCTAGAATCGTTATTAATCTCATGTTGAGATAACGTTTTTGGAGTGTTTTACTCGTAAATTAAGAAAGAAACGTCGTAAATTAAGACGGATACGTTAAGATTTAAAAAACTGAACGAAGAAAATTACGAAAGATAGTATTAAGTAGCCGGTAGATTAAGAGAGGTGCGCCGCAGTTTGATTTCTTAGCTCAACCAGGCGATTTTCTATAAATGATTGAGAACCACTGATATACACTAGCTGAAAATTATTTTGAAACGATAATATTTTGAGAATGAGTAAACATGGAAATTGATCGCTAACCTCAACCAATTACAAATTTCACCGTAAGTATTGCCAACGGGATGTAAACAAACGAATCGATCCGAGTTGATCGTCGATGATAAACCTCCAATTATTGTCATGAATGATGACCTGACCTTTGACCCCATCTCAACACTGAAACTCCACTCCGTTGACAGTTTATCATCGCTTCGATACACGTATCCAATTAGTGTGCCTTTGCCACCCTTAATTTTGCTATTTCATTATCACTATTAATGTTTATTATGTTATTATTATCACAAATAATAAGTGAAATGTTTACCGTGATTGTGAGGTTGAGATAGCGATTTGATTTGTCATCCATTTGGATGGAACCATTGAAGGATTTGAATTGTGATGAATGGTGGACTATTAATGGTCTGAAATTCATTGTATTTA